TGTGTGATAAGGTAGTTGAGAGTAAATTCGAAAGCGCCCAATCTATCAGTAGACGACCTACTGCCACGCTATCGCACACCTGTGCTTCGTCTAGCATTGTCCCTTTATGCGGAAGGTACCATCTTTTTTCCAGTTCTTTCACCTCTTGATAACATTCCGCGACGGCAGATTGAATCTCTGATAACCCACAAAAATGAAGGCTAAATTGTCTATATGAGTTGATCGTTACCAGATTTGGGATGCCAATGGATCCAGGGAATTTCTTGATGCACTTGGCTTCACTGACAGAGAACAAGGCGATCTTGGACCTGTTTATGGATTCCAGGTTTGTGTCTCTTCGATGCAGGTTTTCTAGGAGAAAGAGCTTAGCTTTTCCCTAGAAATGCACTGGTTATGGCATTTCAGATAGATGTCATGCTGCATTAAACTCATTGTCTTCAGTGGCGCCATTTTGGTGCAACGTACAAGGGCCCGAACGCTAACTATGAAGGTGAAGGAGTCGACCAGCTTGCCGATGTAATCCATCAAATCAAGACAAATCCAGATAGTCGGCGAATCATCCTCAGTGCTTGGAATCCGTCAGGTATGCTGACTCCCCAGAAACCTGGGGATTTGGCGGGCGTTTTGCTCTTTACGTAAATTTATGTCCTGTCTGTATCCTGCAGAATGCTTTCAGATTTAAAAATCATGGCCCTTCCTCCGTGCCATACGCTCTGTCAGTTCTATGTACAAGATGGAGAACTTAGCTGTCAGTTGTATCAAAGAAGTGGAGACATGGTACTTAGGTTTTTCTACGTCAGGACAAATTTGCTTTTTTTGTGGTCTGACTTCAAATTGATCTTCTCTAATGCATTATTCAGGGACTTGGTGTTCCTTTCAATATTGCCAGTTACGGCTTGTTCACCCACATGATTGCTCACGTGTGTGGCTTGAAGGTAGGTTTTCACTTCGTCGGTGGGGTGAACATGTTTTTGCGAACTGTCTTCAAAAAAACCCAATTTTAAATTTTTGACGTGGTAATCTTGTCCATACGACTGAGAGGCCCATGTGTACAAGAATCAATATCGACGCTCTCTTAAAGTCCAAGGTATTCCCAAAAGCTCACGAATTAATATACGTTATAAAATGAAGGGCTCAGAGAGTCTCTTCAAATAGTTTGCCGATTATGAGATTTATAAACTTCCGCTGTAAGGAGCGAAACTAGTGCCACTTTGCTTTCGCTGACTCTGCCCTAAGTGGAAATATCCGCCGATTTGCACGTACTTGCGCAACTGTAGCGAGAAGAAATTGATGATCGCTACCGTACGTGAGCACAGCTTTCTGGAGACGCGCCTTCATATCTTTGGATACGATTGCTTGGCGCACTCGCACGACCGGAGGCCCTGCGGCGCTAATCAGTGGGTTGCGTGTGCGCAAAGGCAGACTTGAACAGCCGGCGCCGTCGCCGCTAGCGATTCGGGTCGAGAAGTATGAAACGCACTCGTTGTGGTGTCCGCTTACATTCCTGAAAAATCAAATCCGTAGTGCCTTGTTACAATTTCTTGTGAACTTTCCCATTGTCTCCCGTCGCAACTTGTTTACGAGGCTTTAGGCTGGCGTTCATACTTTGCGTCAGCCATGCCGCGTTTCGAGTGTATACCAGCGCCAGTGAATAGAGAAGTATAGGTTTGATCTTGCATGTGCCAGCATACAGCAGCGTTTCGAGCGACTCGGGAAGTATAGAGATCCGATTACAGACGCACCAGGTGTTACTGCGGCGCTTGAGCTGTAGCAAAACTGCTCCGCAAAATGGCTAGCGCGACGCTAGGGATCCGGACTATCTTGCATTTCCTAGCTCCAGAGACTTCGCTGTACGCTTGATCGATACCTAAGGTTCCCTAGTCGTGGGGAAACTCTGCCGTATGCTGATGCGAACTATGGGCTCAGCCTTACTGCTCACTGTCGTGGCTTGAGATGCCTGTGAAAGTAAGCAGTGCATGGTGCACATCTAAATCTTTGAGGGATTATAACGCCTTTCTAACAGAATTTAGAACAAGGTAGTGGCAAGATATCTGAATATTATCACAATCTTGGACAGTTGCAGCTCGAGCGAACACCTAGCGCCTTCCCAACGATAGAATTCGGTGAAGGAATCAACACAATAGACGATTTTACCGCAGAGAAAACTCCATACTGAGAGAACTTTACAATCCTCAAAACCGATCAAGATGGCGGTTTGATGTGGACATACCGGTGGAAGTTCTCTATTTTCTAACTTTTCTACGTTTTCATATCGAACTTTTTCTGATCTCAATCCGATTTTTTTCCGTGAACTTTTCTAGGGTTCTTCAATAGTAACACAGAAAATGTCTTGTAGATACTCTAACCTTTTTTGTCATTAATCTCTACTATCGTCATATGTGACACAACCTCGACTTACCGGTTTGGAGACCCGCTCCATAACTTCTTTGTTCAAAACGGTCTCATCACGAGTTTGAAGAGTTGCATTCCTCTGCAGTTACTAAATATTTCTATTCCTCTAAGGTTAACGAGAAGACAGTTTGATCTTCTGTATCCTCGAACATGTAAGGCCTCGGCTGTGTGAGCGTAGCCAACCTAGACAGCTAAAGGCAGTCAAAAACGCAGATAGCGCCAGAAAAGAGCGCACACGACTCAGTAAAAGGTGTCAATACACCTCCTCACCACTTGATGTCTGTAAAAAAAGGTACCCTGGCGCGCTCGCAAATATTTCTTTGAACACGCCCTCTACGTTCGAGTGGATGTGGCGTGTAACATCAGTGTCGCTTGCTTTGCATGAGAATGTTACCACCCTTTCTCAAATTTTCGAACTGGTATTTTGTATGAATCCTTTACCTTACACCATTCTACCTTACTTCGTTCTTTTCTATACACTCTCTTGTTCCGATAAGAATAAAAATGGCCATTTTTTCAGTATTTCACGGATAAGGAATTCATGTTCAATTTCATTCAAGATGAGGGAAGATGGAACTTGTCATGCGCAAATTATTCTATGCAAAATTTGAGGAAAAACTATCAGGCTATTTAGAAAGTTCCCGTCCACTTCTGCCACTTTTTCAGAATTATTTCTCTGTGTTAATATTACATTCAAAAGCTAGTGAACATATGCACCATTACTATCTGCCGCCAATTGCCATTTATCAGGTAATTTATGGATGCCATATCCATAAACTTCTTGGTTTTCCACGAATAAAGTTCACCGAGGCATCCCTCAAGTTTCTCCCTACTGTAAAACTGGTTCTTCTGCAACTGGTTGGTCAACGAAATAAAGGGATGGTGGTATAATGGAGCCTGGTATGGGATAATGGGACCACGCGGCATCGCGCGCGACAATTGCAAATACCGTATGGTTACGATCGGCGCGCGCTCGCGATGGTTTTGTTATCGCGACAGTGACATTTCGCTGCTATTTTTTCAACAGGACAGTCCGTCGTACCTCAACAATGCGATACTAACCATAAGTACAGTCTCCGAGATTATACTGTCCGGAAATTGTGACAGCGGTTGAGCTAGGTTAACTCGCGAGCAGTATTTGTACAGGTTTCTCTGCACCATAATTTTTATGTAAACACTCTAGTTAAGCAATTAAAAAAATCTAACGGTCATGACAAATCCTGGTCCTTCCAGAGTGGAGCATGGCTGAAAACTGAAGCGAACACAATTTAAATGAATAACGCAATGACATGGTGGTTCCTTGCGAGCGTGCGATCCATCGCGAGCAGGCGATGTTTCCAAATTGCCGCGAAGCCGTGCCTAAAGACCTCTCATTGGTGCCGGGTATGTGACAAGAGAATCGTAATTCACCGCGCTGGTGGGCGTCGCGTGCGACGTCGCGCCCGCAAATGACGATGGTTCCAGGTAGTAGATGGCGACAACAGGCAATTCAGAACCGAAATAGTCATGAATGTCTACGATGACGGGGTCATGAAGTCCGGTGCTCCAATCGACAGGTCAGCAGGAGTTAAGAACGCAGCCCCTATTGCCGCGCGCGTGGCGGAGCGGCAAATTACGACCCCCTTGTTCGTCTCCCATTGGGGCCAGGTCTGGTGAATACGATGGGTGGGGAGAACATACCATCCTAATTTTTTCTGAGTCTCCTGCGCAACGTGTGGACGCGCATTATTCTCCAGGAGGGAAGGTATTGTCTTGTTTTCCACGACAAGCTGCTTCGCTGCAGTCCAACCTACCGTGAGTATTTCTAGTTACTGTAGTGTTTGTAGGTAGCAGCTTTCCGTGATAATCTTTTGCAGTTCCACCAGACACTGAGCATTACGTTTCTTGGATGAAGTTTCGGATTTGGCAGGGAAATTCCTGTTTGCCGTGGCTGAGCTCCTGACGCTTTCGAGTGTGGTCAACAAAGACCTCATATTTCGTCGCTATTGCCAAAGTTTTCGGGTGAAGGAAGTCTCCGCCAATTTTCGTAGGGGTGCATGCATTTCCGCAAGCCAGGTTCTTGCATGCATCCCTGCGCACCTGTAGCTGGTGACCACTAAGGTCATACGTTTCCCATGCGCCCTATCTCCAGGTTTTCCCAACTTTCGAAAGCCATTCAGATAGCTAACTATGGTGGTGTGACGGAATTAGAGATCAAGAATGAAATCAGTAACACGTGAGATATTGCGCTGATATTGCCATACAGATGTTATCGAGTAACAAGTAAGGTAAGCCTCATTTTGAGCATATGTGATGAGTGTGGAGCAGGCGAAAAATGATGCGTATTGGGCAGCTGTTCGAATGTACATACTTCATAAGTACCGCAAGACATTGATAGTCCTCGGTGTTGGCTTGGTCGCGGTAACAGCTGGCACCATATACTATGTGAAGTATCGGGTGAGTTTGACTTCTTGTTGATTCTTCTATTATTCACAGAATTGTGACTTATCCAGTGCTGGCCTAATTCCTGCGATGTGACCCCTAACTCATTGTCAGTCGACCAGTGCACAGAGAGTGCGCCAGGCATTAACATTCCATTTGAAATGAAGGCGATTCACTAGATCAAAAGCGTGTTGTTACGGAAAGCTTGTGCTAACCACTAGCGGAAGTTTGGGTGAATTGTGTCCAGGTTTGACGTACCCACACTTTCCGGTGAACCGTGATCTAATCCATGTCATTGTAACAAGTTGTACACCAAACCTGGAGCACCTTAACACCTGGAGGGTCGTGCCTGCCAAAGCATCAACAGGTGCAGAAAACATGTGTTAAGCCAGGGGATGGGATATGCAAGGGTAGGGGATTCGAGATGGGTGTGTCGAGGGTATGAGGCAACAGTCTGTCCACAGAGCCGCCCTGCAGTTCAGAGAGAGAGTGCAGAGAAAGACAGAAAAATGATCCAGATCGGAAGAATTCGAGTTTTGGTAGTCCGTAGATCCCTTCCAGTTAACTCTTTGGAACTGCAGGGACTATAGCGCTTACATAAAACTGCACAGGGCACAGCATTGGTTCGGGATTCCCCATGGGGGGTCGTATTTGTTCGCGTTGTAAAGGGGGGGGGTCGGATTTCTCGTTTTACCTTTGAGGGAGGTTACCTGTTGCCTGACGTTTCGGGATTTTCCTGTTTCACGTGTACTATATACCCCTTACCCCACCCCGCCCGCCAGGGCACAGCATTGGTTGGGGAATCCCCATGGGGGGGTCGTATTTGGCCGCCAGGAGAGGGGGGGGTCGTAGTGAGTGCGGCAGCCAGTAACGAGCAGCGCAAATTGTCAATGTGCTGAGTCCTGTACAGCGAAACTTGCTTTGTAGAGAACTCGGATATGCAAAAAAATAGTACAAAACTTTCATCAAACTAATCCGAAATAACTGCAAATATTAATAAGTCGACATCATCTCGTAAGGTCCGTTGGTGACTAAACAGTACAAACAGTCAAACTCTGGTTCGCTGCCAATGATATGGCGTGTCCGCGGTCGCGCTTGGCGCTGAGCCAACCTTTTTTCTCGACAAGCGACAGGACTACCATATCGTTCGTATAGACGTTTTCCAGCAGTTGGTCTCCTTTATCGGAGTCAGCAATTGGCGGAGCACGAATCTGGCAGCGTCGACAGGGACATGTTCCATCATACGCAACGGAAAACACTGTAAACAAGTGCACAGGCTCGCCATGGACCTCCCTGAACCTATAGACACATTTGCTCGCGTGGACAGACATTACGCACAAGTTGCACCATCCCATCACTTCTGCGCGGACCTCAGTGCGCGGCGCATCCAAAGTCAGCGTGATCGGCGCTAAACGAACCATATTCTGCTCCTGCTCCACCACAGGATACGTTTTTCATGCGTTCCTGGTTATTCGAACACGCTCACTTGAAACGGTACACAGGAAACGGGTTTTTCGCGAGCTCGTAGTACTGCGCGAGAAATCCCCATCAGATCTCATGAATCCCGAGGACTTCCGAAACAGTTCAATAGGTTTTTAGAAAGAGCAAGTCTTCATACACTCGAATCCGTTCTCAGATTTGTGAAATGTTGAGTTACAAAAAAAATATATTGATTCAAACCTGTTCCTGAAAAAAATCCCCATCGAATCCCCAAGGCAATTTCTCTGTGATTTTTGCGACCTTCATGAACATTTTAGTACTTTTAGGAAGACCAAACCTTCCTCTACACGAATACGCTTTCCCATTCCCCAGGTCCGCTTTTGAGGAAGTTATGGTCCTTCAAAGACACCCTACTTGCTGAAAATTTGTTTCCCACGGCTGGTCCTGCCCAGAATTCCTTTCCCCGGTCCTTTAATCGATAGTCGATTGAGCTATGCAAACGGGACAACTTTGAGAACGGCTGGCCGCAATTGCACCACTGACGCCTTCTGAGTCGGATTCAGTTGAGGAGCGAGACGAATCGTCCGCGTTAAAAAGCTTTTTTGTTTTTAGCTTTTCCTTTTTTGTTGTTCTCGCGGTTCCTAGCTTGGTTGGTTATATTGCACCTCCAGTGAAGTGAATACACTGTGAATACACAAAAAGCCTGTTTTTCACGAGTGGTGCCCACCTGCGATAAACTCGTGATTCCTTGCCTTTTTTCTGCTCTCGCACTCCAGCGAAAAGAGCAACTATGCGACTGCGAACACTGCTCTGTATAATTTTTATGCGTTGTTATGTAGGCAATATAAACCGAACGGCAAAAAAGGGGGGTCGTACCGAACCCCCAAAAAGGGGGGGGGTCGTACAGGCTCGACCAAAATCCCCATCGAATGCTGTGCCCTGAAACTGCAGCCGCTCTCTGAGAAGGGCCATAGAAGGGATCGTGCGAAGCTTGGATAATCGCAGTGTGGGACCTGTGGGACCATTTCGCACAGTTTCAGAAGTATGTGTTTTCACCACGGAGTTCCTCCCCTTCGAGGCTAAGGCAAGAATTCTCACCTTCATCAGGCGATCTCAGTATTACCCTAGAAGACACTCTCAATGTCTTTCTTCGCTGACCTGCTTCCTAATCTATATGTTATAGAAGAAGCGTGAAGAAAAGGGTTTGAAGAAAGCAGTGAAACCCGGCTCCAAAGGTAAGCTTCGTTTGTCTCTTCTTTCGTACGCTCTTCCCACTAGTCACGAATATGCCTCCGCAACTTACGCAGACTCTCAGCAACCCGTTGAATTAGCCAGTGAAACCCTTGACGGTTTCATACATCCGCGCGACAAAGCCTGCTGGCGCGTCACGGATTTCCCCTGAAGTGTCCTCCTACTGCATGGATTCCCGCATGCAGCTGTGGAACGCTCCAAAAGGTACTCATTAGGGTTGTCGATAAGAAACAAGTATATATCAGTGATAGAGATTTTTGCTGCCTGCTATATCACACACCTGTAACAAGCACGATCTGAAGTGATATCCTGCTGTTTTGCGGGGGACGGGGGGGGGTGAGGCGGGACAGAAACCACGTATGATCACGGTAGCTTGTGCAGTGCCGTTAAACGCGTGAATCAGCTCTAAGACAGCAGGCCAGACTACATTCGCTTCCTGTTAGCACCGCACCTATTACACATCTTGGCTCACTCCTCCACGCTTAGTGCCCGTCGGACTTTGCAGAGAGATGGCTGTCGACCTCTCACTTGCGGCGTCCTTCCCATCCACAGTCTTCTTCCTAACCGTGCGGCCTATTTGCACTCTTCCTGAAAAGTGGCTAAAGCAAAGCAGTCGGGGACAATGTGATGAAGCTCATCCCGCCTTCCTCACAACGTCTCCGTCTGATTGCGCTGTACAGGCTATATGGATAGCGATAGAGATTACAGTAACCTTGTGTTACAGATTGTTTACTCCGTTAACCAGAGGTACAGTAAGCAGTCATTATGTCGTGCGTCGTTTGTAGGCTTCCGGTTTCAAGATGTAAGAGCCCAGGAGCGTGCTTGTTGCATTCGTGCTCGTAAGCTTCCTGAAGACAAAATGTGCACTCATCTCCGAGAGCAGTCGGTGCATGTGCAAGGCGAACGGATCTGAACCTGAATTAGCGTGTCACTTTTTCCACTCAAAAAAGCACAGAGGGAGGTCTGTAGGGTAATGGTGCCCGAGTGCTGTCTCCATACTCCACCCGCGATATCCTTCTGTGCAGCACTTGCATCGATACCAAGGACCCGCCGCGAAAAAGGCACTCAGCGGTGTAGAACAACCAGAAGTGAGAGGGGGCAGATGAATAGCGCGTTTAGCTATGTATGTGGTTGGACGTGTGGCAGCGCGGGTGGAGCATGGAGATATTACGTAGAAATCGCTATACTCCTGCCCCGTTACTGTCATGGCGAGACTCATAGTTCTACAAAATCGCTTCTAGTGAATGTTTCACCTCTTTCGCATGAGGGAATCGCTCTGCCCGCAGTGAACCATAATTCCCCAATGCTTCAACGAAAATTCTCATTCTCTTACACCAAGTACCTGTTCAACATCAAAAAAACTGAATGAAATAGCCTGGCAAAGGGTGTGTCGTGAGACGCGAAGTGGTGATACATCATCAACTTCTCTTGAGACGTCAGTTGACGTCATGGCATTTCCTGACATGCCACATTAACAATTACGTATTGGACTAGATTAATGAACTGCTGAAAAATTGGCGAATAATCTTCAAGTCCTGCGGCGGATAATTCTCACTTCAGCAGACCCGAGTCTCGGCAAGTCTACAGAAGAGCGGCCTTCTGATCTACCAGCTTCACAAAAGGTACGTTAGCTGGAAACAAGTTACAAAGGTGGGGAGGGTGTAGCTTGTGTGAAACCAAATAAATCAACAATCGGGAGAACTGGAGGCCAAATAAATGCGACCCCTGTTGGGCATGCCCCTATCTAGGACGTCCTTCCGATCTCAGAAGATCGACATTGCCGCAAGGGGTCCAAAAGCGGCAGTGTAAAGTGGCCGCGAGCGCGGCAGCTGGGTGACTTGACGCAGTGGTAGTGCATTATGTTCGTCCCTATAAGTTAAAGGCAGTGGGTGTGAGTGGTTGCTGCCACGTCACTGGTGGAAGGGCTTCGAGAGAGCTTTGGCCCCCCCTCAGCTCTTCCACCTATGACGTTAGCAGCAATCACTCGCACCCACCCATTGTGCCCACTGCCTTCAATAGCTGGTATGGGCACGTCGCCGAGAGGTGTCTACAGATAGTTGACATCGTCGTAATATGAGGGGCGGTGTCGGAAGGCGTGCAATGAGCCCGCCCTCAGCGCATCCTAACACCGGTTGTTTCCCGTCTGAAGACGCCTTCATTGGTAGAAAACGCAGCCGTGGTTGGACTCATTCCATACATCCTGACACTGTCTCGCGGGACTGCGACGATAATACCGAGAGACGCACGTCTACGCTGAAGATCCCCAGTGAAGGGCTCGTATTTGTTTCTGAGAAAAGCAGTTGATTGTTGATCTTCCTCGTTTTTCCTGCTTCACATGCGCTATAGAATCCCCTTCCCTCCCACCACGCAATGCAAGTTTTTACAGAAAAAGTGGGGAGTTTCAGAAAAAAATCATAAGTTTTAAGAAGATACGGAGCATTCAGGAAGATGGAGGGGTAGGGTGGGGCAGTCAAGAGGGACAGTCATACCAGAGGTGGAAGCATGGAGGGCAGGTGACGTATTGCAAGATTTCTCTTCAACGGCAAGTGTTGCCCTGGTAAACTATACACATCTCCACACTGAACGATCATGCGTGTCGCACGTAGCAATGTCGCTTGTGGATATGCTGTGATGTACTTTTGAATAATGTCAAAATGTTTTTTAAAATGCTTTCAAAATTTTAGCCTGGGCAAGAAGAAGCCAGACCCTTTAGAACTGTTCCGGAGGATAGCGATCACCATGGAGGTGACTCGACAATCTCGGTGTCGCTCTCACGCAGGCGGCCTTTCAAAAAGGCTTTGAGCCTCAAAGAAATACTGGACGATGCTCCTCCCACAGGGAGGAAGCATAGGGACAGAGGGTCATCGAGTTCTTCAAACCAGAAATATCAACAAAAGGACAAGCCAAAGATAAAACCTAGCGAGGTAAAGAAGAAACATACCGATGGCAAAAAGTCAAAGAAAAGTGATAGAAGATAAGTTATTAATAGATGTCGAAATGTTGGAAAATTCACGCAACGATTCCTTGTTACTGTAAGACACTGTAATACTTTACAATAAAGTATGGTACACTTGTAATTGTGCTTGTTGAGATGGTTTGAGTTAATAGGAGACAGATGTGGCACATTCTGCTTACCTACTCAACCATATTATAGGGATGGGAAGGGCGTGGCTGCATACCTTACTTGAATGTGGCGGCGGCAGGACAGCTATCATCGTTCAGCAGAATGGAGAGTGGCAGTTGCTCGGAAATGCTGCCATGAACAACTCATCTCGTTGTCAGACATTGTTCGAATGGAGTACGCCCTCCCCATCGGAACATGGAGTGAGCACAAAGGATGGAGAGGGCAGAATAAACGGGCGGCACGCCATACACAGCTGCACACAGATATGTACGCAGTAGTAAGCCTGCCGTGATGAATGATGGTTTTAACGCCCTTGGCGCTTTTCGCTCTGCCAAAGTAGTACAATCCCTGCCAAGAGAGTGGGGTAGAAGAAAAAGATTCAGCAGCTCACTTAATTTGCCTTTGACTGTGCTCATTACACCCATTTCAAGTGGAAGTACCGTATGGACCATTCTCGTAGCAAAAGAGCTGCTGAGAAATTAGGTCATCCCATTCAAAAATGTGAAGACATATAGAGGAATGGCAGAAAAGCAAAGGGGATAGGGCAGCGGGCTACTATACCATTTGGAAGCTAGTACCTTTAGCTATGTATCTGTGAAATTTGGCGACCTACCCACAGAAGAAGTCCTCGAAATTGAAAAGAAGTCGAGTGACGGTTGAAAAGCATGTGCTTGGATTTCAGATCACGCGCCCTTAAACAGGAGGTGCGGCTCATGACTGCGTCGGACCAGTAGTTGTGTGTAATGGTGTTCTCGAAATACAATGCGGAAGGTTCGGTTCAGGAGCCCGGATGTAGGGCGCAAGAAAAAAGGGTGGATGAAGTCAAGCGCTGAATGTCTGATCACAGAGCCTGGACCTTTGTCGAGCTTCCCCGCGAGACTGACATCCCTGCTGCAACTGCTGCCCGAGTTATGTCCGATAAACTGAGGATGGTCAAGAGGGTGTGCGCATGGGTACCTAATTTTCTTGTAGAAGCACGAACGCAGTACCGATTCTATGCCTCTAGCAGTAATGTTCTCAGCATGAGATGTCATTCACGACTGAAAACGCACCCGGCCCTAGATGAAATATGGGTGGTCTTGGACCTCGAGCCAAAACTCACAATCGTCAATTTTGTATGAATGCAGATGAGAAGCCGCCCGAGTTCTACCATGAGGAGTTACGTGGGCCCAAGTGGATGATCATCATAGCGAAGGATTTCTGCACTGTGGCTTTCAAGCGGCTCTATACAGAGAACAAAACCGTCACTGTCGGTGTATATTGCCTGTTCCTCGGCAATCAGATCGACAAATGGATGATACCACACAACTACAAGAAGGCCACCGTTGCTCGTCATAGTGCCAGACCCCGAGTAACTGTATTGTAGGGCAGTGCTGGGACACAAACAATACTGAGACCTGGGTTCAATCGCCCCATTCGCCCAACATAAAGCCGTTCGATTCCAACTGTTCTGGTCAGACGAAGGTATTGGACGGCAGACGCTACAACGTTTTGTCATTCGACGAAATTGGCAACAATAGCAATTTACTCGTAGTTGTTGGAAAAATGAAGATGCCAGTGGTCCAGACGCTCTCGGGGCACTGGGAATGGTCATTGATGAAGGAAGGATTTA